CTGCTGGGCTCCGGCGATCCTTCCGCCTCAACCTTCCAAGTAGCTGGAACTACAGGCACGCGCTACCACACCCGGCTAATTTTTTTTTTTTGATTTATTGTAGAGATGAGGTCTCACCAAGTTGCCCAGGCGGGTCTCGAACCCGTGGGCTCAGGAAATCCACTCACCTCAGCCTCCCAAAGGCGCGGGATTACAGGCTGAGTCATTGAGCCCAGCTAGCTTATCTCTATTTGTAATATATTTCTTTTGTGATTAGGTTGTCCAAACATTATTCATTTGGGCTGTGCTCTCATGCATTAGCTCTCAGGCCTCTTTGATAGTCTTTGGGCCAGAAGCTGATCCCTGGTCACAGCACTCTAGCCGGAGTTTCAGTGTGTCATCTACATCATAGTGATCACTTCCTCAGAAGGAACCTGTGTGGCCTTTGTGGAGACTTAGAACATCATATATCGTTCTTTATTAATGGATTGGAGCTTCTTTGAAGTTGGAGCTTCAATTTGAAAAAGAAGTAGAAGCTGGGCACGGTGGCTCACACCTGTAATCCCAGCACTTTGGGAGACGGAGGTGAGAGGATTGCCTAAGTCCAGGGGTTTGAGACCAGCCTGGGCAACTTGGTGAGACCTCATTTTTACAATTAAAAAAAATTAGCCGGGCATGATGGTACATGTCTATAGTTCTAGCTACTTGGAAGGCTAAGGTGAAAGGATCTCCTGAGCCCAGCAGGTTGAGGCTGCGGTGGCTGTGAGCGTGCCACTGCACTCCAGCCTGAGTGACAAGAGTGAGACTCCAACTCAAAAAAAAAAAAAAAAGAGAGAGAGAGAGAGAGAAAAGAAGAAATTAGAAAGTGCTGCACATGCATGGGATGTATTTCTGGCCTCCAGAAAGAGTAGCTCATGGTTATACAAAACAACATAAAATTACCTTCACTTGTCTTATTTCTATAACCTTTGGCAGAAGTGAGTGTTTTAGAAACTAATAGCAACTCAAGCATATTATACTTCTGTGTGTCATTCCTTTTTATTAGATTCTTTAAGACTTCTGCTAGAATTAGTGCTGTCTTACTGTTTAGAAAGAAAGAATCAAAATGTGTGCTTGGTGTGGATACTAGTAGCTGGATCATTAAATCAGATAAAGAAAGGAAGAAAATGACTTGCTGTGGTGAGCAGACTGCCTCATGTGCAAGGAGTTAGAGAGCAGCTCAGAGTACAAGTTGTTCTGCACATTTTCTTTAGCTGGTAGAATAAGCCAAGACCAGAAACCTTCATGAGGGTGTTCTGAATGAAGGCCTTCTTTGGGGATGGCGTATTTTCTTAGAGACCAGGCAGCTAAATGACATTTTATAGATGGTCAGTGTACCTACTCGATCTTCTCTCAAGATTATTTTTTGAGACCTTGATAAACTGGTTTCCAATGTTTGCTGAAACACCTGAGGAATCAGAAATTAGGTGGGGTTTTTGTGGTTTTGGGGTTTGTTTTTTTTTGAGTTGGAGTCTCACTCTGTCACCCAGGCTGGAGGGCAGTGGCATGCCTCTCAGCCACCACAGCCTCAACCTGCTGGGCTCTGGTGATCCTTCTGCCTTAGCCTTCCAAGTAGCCAGAACTATAGGCGAGCACTACCACGCCTGGCTAATTTTTGTGTGTGTGTTTTTTTTTTTTTGTAGAGACAAGATCTCGCCAAGTTGCCCTGGCTGGTTTTGAACCTGAGGGTTGAGGCAACCCACTCGCCTTGGCCTCCCAAAGTGCTGGGATTACAGGCTGAGCCACCGAGCCCAGCCAGAAGTTAGTTTTTAAAGGCATTACCATGCAAGTAGCATATCCTGATTTCATCAGTAGTATAAACTTAGCTTCATGAAAATCACCATATTATTATTATTTTTCTCATTTCACCAAAGACTGATGAAAACATCTTCCTGGACTAAAACCACTGGGTTAGATACTAATACAGTGAGGTGAACTCTTAACTGGTTGATAACTGTACCCAGAGAGTGTCGTTGCCATCCAGAAGGGGCACCAAGGTGCCTTTACAGGATTGGAAGCCTGGAGGAGAAGTGAGGAATGACAGAAGAAGGCTCATGCTGGTCTGGGCTAGAGGTGTCAGGGGGTTTATGATGACCCTAAGCAAGAAGGAAATGTTTAGAGAAAAGACTTTCAAGCTCTAGATGCTTTGTTCTGGGACTAAGAAGGAGAGTAAATTCTCAGAACTCTTTCTTTTGGTTCCTTCCAGTGAAGGTCAGAGAGAAAGCCATGCCTAGGAGACTTTATTGAGGAATATAACATTTTTCCATTCTCTGTGGTTAGTGACTATAGCCTATATAGAAGAGAAAAACCTAACCTCAGTCCAGGGTTTCTCTGCTGTTTGAGAGATGCATTGTGTCTGATTTTGCTTCTCTTTTTTCCCTCAGGCTGCTTGATAGAGGCTGTAAATCTCAAATCCAGCAACCGAAACCCAGTGGTACAAGAATTTGAAAGTAAGTACAAGGAAGACACTGAGGAGAGCGAGCACCATCTAATGGACATTTTGTAGTCCTGCAGCCACCTCAGGACACATACCCATCTCTATATTGTACCAAGGGGTGACCACTCAACAGTGCATACATGTCAGTGAAGCATCGGTCAGCAGACCTAACAGTGAACTCTGCAGGTTTTATATTGACTAGCATCTGATTCCTGCCCAGCTTTGTGATTACACAACAAAGAAATTTCTTTTTTTTTTTTTTTTTGAGTTGGAGTCTCACTCTGTCTCCCAGGCTGGAGTACAGTGGCACACTCATGGCCACCACAGTCTCAGCCTGCTGGGCTCAGGTGATCTTTCCGCCTCAGCCTTCCAAGTACCTGGAACTACAGGCAGGCACCACCACGCCTGACTAATTTTTTGATTCACTGTAGAGATGAGGTCTCACCAGTTTGCCCAGGCTGGTCTGGAACCCGTGGGCCTTTCATCTCGACCTCCCAAAGTTCTGGGATTACAGGTGTGAGCCACTGCGCCCAGCCAAGAAATTTCTTATATACAAGCAGAGTGCTTAAGGGATGGATGGTGTACTCTATCTAGAAAAATCCTTGCTAATTGTGTTTTTCTGGCAAAACTTATCTTTCCTCAGTCTCTTAGAGCTTGGAGGTGGCTAGGTTTTTAATCTGCAGGAGAGGTCTCTCTTAAACTACAGATAGTTTACAAGTCTGGTTATATAAGTGAACCTAGAAGCATTCCACATTCACTGAGCATTCTTTTTTTTCTTTGCTCATTAGGCGTGGAACTGTCTTGTATCATTACGGATTCACAGACAAATGACCCTAGGATTGAATGGAAGAAAATTCAAGATGACCAAACCACATATGTGTTTTTTGACAACAATATTCAGGGTATGATCCAGTAGTCTTCTCTGCCTGCTGACCTCTTACTTCAGACTGGTAATCTGCATCTGTAGCCAGGATCTTGGGTTTTTATTAAAATGTATTATTATGGAAAATGTCATACATATGCAAAAGAAAAGAGAATAGTATAGTACCTGTCACCCAGTTTCAATAAATATCAGTTCAGTGACTAGGATTTTAATCTGTTCATAGCCCATCTTTTTGAGAAATCAAAGTGAACATTTTCCTAGGCCATCTTCTCTTCGTGGTCCCTGGATGAGTGATATGAGTGAGTTACTCAGAAGGATCACATGTAGCAGCAAGGCGATAACCCAGATTTACTGAGCCATCCACCATGTCCTTGGCTTGGTGCTGGGGATGCCCTGTGGGAAGAAAGCATAGGGTGCCCTGCAATAGCACAAGTATGAGAAGGATGGTGGCTAGGGAGGGCCCCCCAGAATGGCCTCAGGCACAGTGTGAAGGATGACTGGTTAGCACGGTGGCAAGGTGTGTGTGGAGAGAGTTGGTGGTACAGGAGAGAATGCTGTGTGTGGAGTGCAGCAACAGACAGCCTGGCAGTATGTTTCCCACCAAAGCTGGAGCTGGGCAGAGAGGGGCAGAGGAGGCTGGAGAAGTTTCCCAGCCAAGCAGGCCACACAGAATGCCAAGTAAGCAAAGTTAGTTGCTGGGGGCCTACTGAGAGGTTCTGAGAGGAGGTGCTATGGCTACATCTGTGCTTTAGAAGGTTGAATGGCTACTTTGTAGAGAAGAGGCTGGAGATGGGCAACACTCAGAGGAAAGGCACCATGGCAGAGTTATTTTGCAGAACGTGGCAGGGAGCCAATGGCCAACCTGAGCTGAAGTGAAGGGCAGTGGTGGGACTCACAGGGAGACTTGCTAGGCCTGGGCTTTGCTGAGGAAGGGGGAGGGAGCAGTAACAGAAGTCTGGAGTGGAGGGATGCACCTTCCTTCCAGCAGGAAGGAAGGATAAACAGGTTCAAATGCAGATTCTGAGTGGGGCACCACCAGAGTGTCGAGAGAAGTCTAGCTGAGAAAGATATAGAAATTACCACAAGTATGGTCTCTGCTATGGGTTCTCAGTGTTGTCAGGAGTCAGAGGCTCTTAAAAGTGTGCTTTCCCACTAATGTGAGGTCCCTCCTTCACCCCTTATTTTTGAAGAGATGGAAATGTTACTCTCAGAAAACAAGTTCGTTTTCTTGGCTACTTAGGCTAACCCTGCTAAACCCTGTACGTGTAGCTTAGATCATCAGAGAAACCAGGAAAGAGCCTTTTCTTTTTTCTTTTCTTTTCTTTTCTTTTTTTTTGAGTTGGAATCTCACTCTGTCACCCAGACTGGAGTGCAGTGGCACGCTCTCGGCCTCGATCTGCTGGGCTCCGGCCATTCTCGACCTGCTGGGCACTGGCCATCCTCCTACCTCAGCCTTACAAGTAGCTGGAACTATAGGCATTCGCTACCACACCCGGCTAATTTTTTGATTTATTGTAGAGATGAGGTCTCGCCAAGTTGCCCAGGCGGGTCTTGAACCTGCGGGCTCAGGCAATCCACTCACCTCAGCCTCCCAAGGCGCGGGATTACAGGCTGAGCCACCGAGCCCGGCTGAGAGCCTTTTCTTAAAAGAACTTTCCTTTTCTGGGACCTAAATATCTTACGCTTAACCACAGAGATGGGGAGTACAAGGGAGACTATTGACCCCACAAAATAAGAGGACTGGAGGAAAGCTAGAATCTGCTTGGTCTATTCTCTTGCCTCTGTACAAGACTGTACCAAAAGCACCCTGGTAAATTTTTATTTACTATGTTGATACATGGTAAAAATTATAATTCTCTATTAATGATTTCTGTATAACCAACCTTTTTATTAGAAAATGTTGACAATGTTCATCTTCTGTCATAAGCATCTTCTTGTTTTTATTATATCACAGTAAGTCTTTCATATACTTGTCACTAGTTGTCAGGTTTAGTTTCTACTTTTTTGTGTTATTTTTCCTAACTCCTTCCTTATTTGTTGTTTTTCAGACATATGATTTGTAGATATTTTCCTCCATTGTGAGGATTGTCTTTTTTTTTTTTTTTTTTTTTTTGAGTTGGAGTCTCACTCTGTCGCCCAGACTGGAGTGCAGTGGCCGCTCCCAGCTACCGCAACCTCGACCTGCTGGGCTCTGACGATCCTTCCGCATCAGCCTTCCAAGTAGCCGGAATTACAGGCGCGTGCTACCTTGCCCAGCTAATTTTTTGATTTACTGTAGAGATGAGGTCTCGCTGCCCAGGCGGGTCTCGAACCCGCGGGCTCAGGCAATCCACTCACCTCAGCCTCCCAAAGGCACGGGATTACAGGCTAAGCCACCGAGCCTGGCTGAGGATTGTCTTTTTACCTGCTTTTGTCCTTTGAAGCACAACATTTTTAATTTTGGTGAAGTTCAAGATAACTACTTGGTGTGTGTAATTTTGCTTTTGATGTCATACCTAAGAAACCATTGCCTAATCCAAGGTCATGAACATTTATGCTCATGCCTTTTTGCTAAGAGTGTTACAACTTTAACTCTTGTTTTAGATCTTCATTGTAATATGAGGTGCAGAAGAAGTTTAACTATTTGTTTGCATGTAGACATCCATTTGTCCCAGCATCATTTGTGAAATGTCGGTTGTTCTCTGTTTACTTTGTTTTTCTCTTCATGGGGAGTTCCTCTTGGGAATGATGAGAAGAAGATGAGGTTCCAGAAACACATGTAATGAATGCCTCTTACACACCAGTGACTGTTTTTGATGCTCAGGTTACAAACTGGAATAGTAAGAGTTCCTTTCCTCAGGGAGTCCACTTCTGTTACATGGTATTAGAAACAGAAGCCTATCTGTGATCTTCTTACTGTGGCATCAGATTCTGACGCCAGAAACTACCCTCTTCAAGTGGCAAAGACATCTTTAAAGAGTTTTTTAGTGTCCTGTTTCTTCTTCTTTTTTTTTTTTTTTCTTTGAGTTGGAGTCTCACTCGGTCGCCCAAACTGGAGTGCAGTGGCCGCTCCCGGCCACCGCAGCCTCGACCTGCTGGGCTCCGGCGATCCTTCCGCCTCAGCCTTCCAAGTAGCCGGAATTACAGGTGCGCGCTACCACCCCCGGCTGATTTTTTGATTTATTGTAGAGATGAGGTCTCGCTGCCTAGGCAGGTCTTGAACCCGCGGGCTCAGGCAATCCACTCACCTCAGCCTCCCAAAGGCGTGGGATTACAGGCTGAGCCACCGAACCCGGCTTGTTTCTTCTTTTTTACAGGAGACTTGGCAGGTCGTGCAGAACTACTGGGGAAGACTTCCCTGAAGATCTGGAATGTGACACGGAAAGACTCTGCTCTTTATCGCTGTGAGGTTGTTGCTCGAAATGACCGCAAAGAAATTGACGAGATTGTTATTGAGCTAACTGTGCAAGGTAGGAGCCCATGTGAAATAAGATGTTCTTGCCCCTTTCAAGCCTGATGAGTCTCTATGGAATAAAACACATCAATTTGTCCTTTGATCGCTTTTCCTCTTGAGGCTATCACATGACTCAGGGATGGCAGACCCCTTAGAACTGAGACTGCTGACTTGAGGTAGAAGGTGAGAGAGAAGTGGAGCCTCTATTGCTCCCTCCACCTGGAGAAGCTTTAGCGTCCTTTCTTCTCCACAGCTCCCTCCAGTAGATGGAAGGAGTTGGATGAGCTGAGAGGGAGAATGCAGTGGTGCAGGAGCCCCGTGGCTGGCTTCATGTCTTTGGAGCCAGTTTACTGTGGGCTTTGATAAAATAGAGCCATTTTGCTGAGGTTGTAAACACCAGCCCCTGCTCTCCCACAGTGAAGCCAGTCACCCCTGTCTGTAGAGTGCCGAAGGCTGTACCTGTGGGCAAGATGGCCACGCTGCACTGCCAGGAGAGCGAGGGCTATCCCCGGCCTCACTACAGCTGGTACCGCAACGACGTGCCGCTGCCGACAGATTCCAGAGCCAACCCCAGATTTCGAAATTCCTCTTTCATCTTAAACTCTGAAACAGGCACTCTGGTAAGATCTCTTCTAAGAGGTGAGAATGGAGATGACTTTATTGGGGGCAAGGGATGCTTACTGAGGAAAGAACAATTGTTAAAAAGAGACATGAAACAACTTTATAAGACGGGAGCTAAAAATCCAGAACGCTGGAGATTCTGTGGGAGAAAAAACCCTTCTTTCTTTTATAAACAAGTTTTAAGGGGTAAAATAAAGGAAGAGAACATGTAGGTTAAGAGACTCAGGAGGGATAGTAAGCAAATGTTATGGGTGGACATTGTTAGGGTACTGATTTGGATAATGAACTGTTAAGACTATTGTGAGACAATCAAGGAAATCTGGTTACTAGCAAGATTTTTTATGATATTCAGCAATTGTTAACTACTTTAGGCATAATAGAGGTATTGGGGTTATGGTTTTTAAAAGTCCTTATTTTCTAGAGATACATACTGAAGTACTTTATGGATAAAACGTGTGAAATTTCAGAACCCAGTAGGAGAGGAGAGGAAACAGATTGGTCACACACTAGAGGACCAGCTGATCTCACCAGCAAACCACACCAGGCTTTTGCTATATCTAGTTATTTTTGAAAATCACTTTTTGGTCTGGAATATCCAACTCCATGTAGTCATCGGGTGGATGAGAATGGGATCCTCTATGTATTGCCAACTGTTGCCCAAGGAGTAGCCATTATCAGAGTGCCCTCTGCTGGAAGAACAGTAAAGCTCCCCTCTCATTCTGGATGTCGCCAGCCCTGGTGTCTCCATGTGCCAAGGGCATCTTGTCATTGGTGGGTCTCAGGCAAGAGTGTCAGGAAAGCATGTCAGAGAGAACCCAGCACAGCGCCTGGAAAGCCACAGGGGAACCAAAAGCAAACACACAGGCCTTTGGCCACATTCTGGACTTGGCAGGATCTCATGGGGCTCTCAGCTTCCCTGTCCCCTCAGAAATCTGCCCTATCGATTGGTCTAATGACCCACTTGTTGCTCCCTGAAACAGGTGTTCAGTGCCGTTCACAAGGAGGACTCGGGGCAGTACTACTGTATCGCTTCCAATGATGCAGGCTCAGCCAGGTGTGAGGAGCAGGAAATGGAAGTCTGTGAGTTACTTTTTTAAAAGGTTTCATTGGAAGACTGAGAAGTGAATATAACATTTTAAGTATAATATGAGGGCCAGGCACAATGGCTCACAGCACTTTGGGAGGTCGAGGCAGGAAATTTTCTTGAGGCCAGTAGTTCGAGACCAGCCTGAGCTACACAGCAAGACCTCATATCTACAAAAAATCAAAAAATTTGCTGGGCATGGTAGCTTGCACCTGTAGACCCAGCTATATAGGAGGTTGAAGAAGAAGGATCACCTGAACCCAGGAGGTCCAGGCTTCAGTGAGCTGAGATCATGCCACTGCACGCCAGCCTGGGCAACGGAATGAGACCCTATCTCAAAAATAAATTTTAAAATATGTAAGTTTAATATTAGACCATGAGTTTAGACAACTGTTCTGCCATGGGTGACCTTTCTTCTGAAGTTGACTAGATCCACCAAAATCCACTGGACATTGAAGGGAAGGATGAGAAATTTCTGATCCTAGATAAACTGGTTCTCAAAACAGACTTTCCAGGGTCTTCTTGTGTTGGGCACATGGCAAATCATGTAACTTTCACCATGGTATTAATAAACTCCATTCCTTTGGTAATTGGTAGAATTATCAAAACAAGGTGGTATAAGGGCTCCAGAAATGTCTCCAGCTGTAGCCATTTTGCAAGAAACTAAAAATCCGAGTGTTATCCCCAGTAATTGTATCTGTTCTGTGATGATGTTATCTCTAGGGCACTGGTTCTAAAGGGGAACTATTGAGGGGAAGATGGGGATGGATACATCTAATCACTTGGGAGCTTTTAGAATCCCTTCTGCCCCCTTATTTGCAGCTACCCCCAGGGAAGTGTTTTCCAAAATTGCCTGATGATAAGAACCATTTGGGACCACTGTTTCACATACAGATTCCAAGGCCCAACCCATACATGTGCTAGAAATGTCTTTGTGTAAAGCAAGCATTACAGGTGATTGAGGCATCTGTCAAATTTGAAAAACTCTGCTCTAGGATTGTTTTCTCCTGAAGTTTTGTCCCAACCTGTTGAATAGTGATGAAGCTTGAGAATTTCAAGTTGATTTTTTTTTTTTTGAATTGGAGTCTCACTCTGTCACCCAGGCTGGAGTATAGTGGCATGCTCACGGCTACCGTAGCCTCAACCTGCTGGGCTCAGGTGATCCTTCCACCTTAGCCTTCCAGGTAGCTGGAACTACAGGCATGTGCCACCACGCACAGCTGATTTTTTAATTTATTTAGAGAGAAGTTCTTGCCAAGTTGCCCAGGCTGGTCTCGAACCTGTGGGCTCAGGCAATCCTCTCAACTCGGCCTCCCAAAGTGCTGGGATTATAAGTGTGAGCCACCGCACCCGGCTCAAGTTGATTTTTAAGTGTACACTCACATTTGAGAATTATTAATTACACTAGGATAAAGGAAAATTTTACTTCCAAGTTAGTTGACTTTTGTTGACAAATTCCCTGCATATTTTTCTTTTTCTTTTTTATTTGTTGAGTTGGGGTCTTACTCTGGTTGGAGTGCAGTGGCATGATCACAGCTCACCCCACCTTCAACTTCCTGGGCTCAGGTGATCCTCTTCCCTCAATCTCTAGAGTAGGTGGGACTACTGACATGTGATATCACGCCCAGCTAATTTTTTAAATTTTTGTAGAGACAAGGCCTCACTATGTTGCTCAGACTAGTCTCCAACTCCTGGCCTCAAACGAATCTCCTGCCTTGGCCTCCTAAAGTGCTGGAATTACAGGCGTGAGCCACCACGCCCATCTTTTCATGCATTTTTATTTGCATAAAAGAAACAGCAACAGCCACTGGTACCCCCACATTGCAGGTGACCAAGTACCATTGCCTAGTATCCAGAAATGGGAAGAGAGAATCCAGGGGGTTTCTTCTCAAGGGACTAATAGATAGGAGGCTAGACTGTCAGTGAGGTGAAAGGTGGAGGTCTCACCTAGTATATTTTACTTTTAAGTAAGGCTTGAAACTAGCGTTCTAATCCCAAATGATCTATAACAAAGGAAGGCCCTGGAAACCAGGGACTTTTTTCTTTCTTGGAACTCCTGGCTCCTGATCCTGTCCTTGTAACCACTGATAATGTTCTTAAGTATTGAGCCAGCGAGTTTTTAAAACAACAATGACAAGCCTTTTTGAGGGAAGGCTGGGATTGGAGTCTCACTCTGTCATCAGGCTGGAGCGTGAGGCACTATCATGGCTACCATAGCCTCTAACTGCGGGGCTCAGGCGATCCTTCCACCTCAATCTTCCAGGTAGCTGGAACCACAGTCGTGGTCCACCATGCCCAGCTAATTTTTTGATTTACTGTAAATACAGCGTTTCCCCCAAGTTGCCCAGGCAGGTCTTGAACCCCTGGGCTCAGGCAGTCCTCTCGCTTCCGCCTCTCAAAGTGCTGGGAGTATAGGTTTGAGCCACTGAGCCCAGCCCAAGCCCTTTTAAAGACAGTATTAAGTGTAACTTGTCTGGGCGTGGTGGCTCACACCTGTAATCCTAGCACTATGGGAGGCTGAGGCCAGAGGATTGCTTGAACCTGGGAGTCCAGGAGGTTGAGGCTGCAGTGAACCACGATCATGCCACTGCGATCCAGCCTGTGAGACCCTGACTCAAAAAAAAAAAAAAGTAACTGCATATGCACCATAGACGTCTCTGTACTTTTTACATGTGAAGTTAGGGGTCGTGATGTCCTATATGTTCTATGCTAAAAAGATTGTAACTGTTCTCAATTTGCTCTCCCAGCTAGGTAGGCCTGAAAGGGGGTGAGGGAAAGCGGAAGGAGGAGAAGGAGGAGGTGCAGCAGGGTCAGAATCTTCTTTAAGAATAGACAGTGACAGCCGGGCTCGGTGGCTCAGCCTGTAATCCCGCTCTTTGGGAGGCTGAGGTGAGTGGATTGCCTGAGCCAGCAGGTTCGCGACCCGCCTGGGCAACTTGGCGAGACCTCATCTCTACAATAAAATCAGAACATTAACCGGGCATGGTAGCGTGTGCCTGTAGTTCCAGCTACTTGGAAGGCTGAGGCGGAAGGATCGCCGGAGCCCAGCAGGTCGAGGCCACGGTGGCCGGGAGCGTGCTACTGCACTCCAGTCTGGGCAGAGTGAGACTCCAACTCAAAAAAACAAAAAAAAAACAAAAAAGAATAGACAGTGAGGCCGGGCGCTGTGGCTCAGCCTGTGATCCCAGCACCTTGGGAGGCCGAGGCAAGAGGATTGCCTGAGCCCCGGGGTTCAAGACCAGCCTGGGCAACTTAGTGAGACCTCATTTCTACAATAAATCACAAAAATTAGCTGGGCATGGTGGTGTGCATCTGCAGTTCTAGCTACTTGGAAGGCTGAGGTGGAAGGATCACCTAAGCCCAGCAGGATGAGGCTGTGGTGACCGTGAGCGTGCCATTGCACTCCAGCCTGGACGACAAGAATGAGTTTCCAACTTAAAAAAATAGTCATAAATATAGTGAACTGGGCACAGTGGCTCATGCCTATAATCCCAGCACTTTGGGAAGCTGAGATGAGAGGATTACATGAGCGCAGGGGTTTGAGACCTACCTGGGCAACTTGGCAAGACCTTATTTCTACAATAAATCAAAAAATTAGCTGGGTGTGGTGGCGCACACCTGTGGTTCCAGCTACTTGGAAGGCTGAGGCGAAAGAATCACCTAAGCCCAACAGGTCTAGGCTATGGTGGTCCTGAGCGTGCTACTGCACTCCGGCCTGGGTGCCAGAGTGAGACTCCTACTACAAAAAGAAAAAATAAAACAGAACAGATAGTGAAAAAAAGAATGGATAGTATGTCTCATCTCTCCCCTCAAACCTCCTCTTCAGATGACCTGAACATTGGCGGAATTATTGGGGGGGTTCTGGTTGTCCTTGCTGTCCTGGCCCTAATTACGCTGGGCATCTGCTGTGCATACAGACGTGGCTACTTCATCAACAACAAACAGGATGGAGAAAGGTGAGCTTGCCTTCTGTGCAGAAAGCAGAGTTCAAGCTGGCCTTGCTATGTGAACCATGTCGCTGAACTGCTGTTTTCTCTTCACAGTTACAAGAGCCCAGGGAAGCCAGATGGAGTTAACTATATCAGGACAGACGAGGAGGTAATTATTTAGGAAGCTGGAAATGTAGGTGTACCCAGCAGGGAAAATGACAACCCTCCTTGAAAGCCAAGAGGGTTCCCAAGTAACACAGCAGATCCTGAGGGCTGCAGCTTTTCACAATGACATGCACACACTAAGGGAGTTTGCAGTTTGCAAGTACTAGTAGATGTTACTTCTTAAGAATCATTATTTCATTTGTTTGTAGTTTTGCCCTTTGTTTCCTTTTTGGGGAAAATATTTAGCCCACATTAGACTTAACCAGTGTTTTCCCTTCTTGCTGCCCAACAGGCTTGTTGATTGTTCTAACTTTGTGCTGGCTTTGCAGGGTGACTTCAGACACAAGTCATCCTTTGTGATCTGAGACCTGCCGAGTGAATGAGAGCACATGCAAATACCTCTACGAGAAACTCCTGTCAAGGGCAGCCATGAACCGAGTGCACTTGGACAGAGCTAGACACTCGTGCAGAAGTTTTTTGTTTGGCCAAAGTTGACCGCTACTCCTTTCTTACTCTTTTTAACAAGCCACATGAACAAAAGAATTTTTCTCAAGATGGACACAGTAACCACAAAGAAAAGAAACAGAATGCGTGCACTGAGTTGGTTCCCAGTCTGTTTCTGGCCCAATTCCCACTTGAGTATTAGGGTGCTCTTCAAGATATCTTGCTCACATAAACGCTCCTGTGTGGGCTACTGTGGACCTGCAAGGCTGGTGTATTTGCCACTGATTGCTCGTCTACCAGGATGAGCGCCACCTGAGGCGATGAGGCAGCTGTGCAGACCAGCAGGGTTAGCCCTGGCTGCACCCAGAAGCTTGTTAATATAGTGACCTTGTTTTGTTGACCCACAGACCCCATTGTACTGTTTCTTCTTAAAGGCTCTGTTGATCAGTGTTGTAATGTTCATCTTGGAGAATCTTTTTGTATCAGCATTTTATAAAAACAACCAAATCAGGAAGATAAATTGCTTGCTGGAAGAGGGATCTTCTTGTCTGAGGAGGCTTGCTTGTCCAAGAGGGTGTCAGGATTTAAGGAAAACCTTCGTCTTAGGCTAAGTCTGAAATGGTACTGAAATATGCTTTTCTATGGGTCTTGTTTATTTTATAAAATTTTACATTCTAAATTTTTGCTAAGGATGTATTTTGATTATTGAAAAGAAAATTTCTATTTAAACTGTAAATATATTGTCATACAATGTTAAATAACCTATTTTTTTAAAAAAGTTCAACCTAAGGTAGAAGTTCCAAACTATTAGTGTTAAATTGGAAAATATCAGTAATTAAGAATATTTTACCCAAGGAATCCTCTCATGGAAGTTTACTGGAACATTCCTTTTCCATGTAAGTTTTAGCATTTTTCATAAGAGAATTTATACTGTCCACACATCAGACCATTTTTACTTGGGAAACTTTCAGAAATTCCAGTTGAGCAATGTTGGAATCTGCTTGCATCTCTCCAAAAGTAACCCAAGGAGCTCTCAGGTTAACTTTGAACTGCCTCTTCCTGAGATTTCTAAAGTGACTTATCCCCAGAGACCACCCAGAAGCCATTAGACGTATACACATACAGACTGCATAGATCAGCTCCTGGGTTGTGTCAGATGCCACTCTAGATCAGCACTGGTTTCTGACTTCTAAGTGCTAGCTAGAATGCTCACTGCCATCTTTAAGGCCCTGACTAGGCTCTGTGTCCTATTAGCTTTAATGGAGTTGTTCTCCACGTGGCACTTGCTTCATCCCAGGATGGTTCTAAGATGGACACTTTGGAAGAGTTGGCATCTAGCATGCTGATCCCAGCCTTCAGATTCCTAGTACAGACATCTTTGGTTATGGAAGGCTCACAAAACAAAGCAGCTATTGCTATTTGTTTTTTAAGTTCATTTAAATTATTCATGTAGTTCATAACACTGGCTAGGGTCAAAGGCAATTTTGAAATAAAATCTGTCAACTACAGTAATATATATATATATTTGAGTTGGAGTCTCACTCCGTCACCCAAACTGGAGTGCAGTGGCATGCTTCCGGCCACCGCAGCCTCGACCTGCTGGGCTCTGGCGATCCTTCTGCCTCAGCCTTCCAAGTAGCTGGAATTACAGGCGTGTGTTGCCACACCCGGCTAAACAATAATATTTTTAAAAGAAAACGAATCCCACTGTACCTGTTTGCCACAAAGAAAGCACCCACAGGCCACAGGTGTTCAGCCTCCTTGATAACACATTGTTATGTGATGGCAGCCAGTGCCTCCTCCAGTGAGGTGTCAGGCAGTGTGGCCAGAGTGAAAGTCCACTAGTGCAGGAGGAACACACCAAGTCAAAAGCAGTTTTCTAATTTTGATTTTACATTTTTTATCTGCCTGAGACACTACTCCCTTTGTGGGGGACATTGCCTCATTCAGAGACCTTTCTTCTTCAAGAGCAGATGTCCCCAGCCTCAAATACATTGCTGTGTTGAACTCATGATGTGAAGAAGCTTGAACAAGGACTTGCCCTGGAGGGGCCCTCATTCTGTCATGTGCCTGAAGGATGGCTTTATGGAGAGTGGGTCACCCTGTGATTCAACTTGCAGTGTCTTAATTTCATACATTTTGACAGGTTTTTTTTTTAATTGAATACTTGGGACTGTGTTGACTTTTCTTAGGTTATGTGAAACGCTTTGCTGTGGGATGCTTGGCAGGGGCAGTAGGCAGCTCTTCACTTGCTCAGTGTGCCTGTCTTCTTTTGCATTTGCATCTTGAATGCTTAGAATGGAGACTGTCCCCTTCTTTGCCTCCTGTTGGTAGAAAGGGATAGCTTCCCAGTCTTACTGTCAGAAATGACACTCCAGCCTCCTTTTTGTTGTCATAGTGATAGGATAGCTTATTGCCACCCTCTTACACCCTAAAACCTTCTACCCTTGTGCAGTGGGAACTGGGTCTGACAAAGTAGAGAGAAGTGCAGAGTGAAGTCCAGGAGGTAGTTGCCTATAAATGTGAGACCGTAGACAGAAATGGACACACATATTTTAAGATGTGAATGTTACTGAGGACTTCAGAAGCCTAGATGAGGTTGTGATTCTCCTCTGGTATGGGTGTTGCTATACATAGATGTTACAGACTTGTACTAACACACCTATAATTTGTTATTTGCTAAACCTCATTTATAAAAGCTTTAAAAAAACTGTGTTTCATTCTTTCTTATTTGCTCTTATGGTGGGTATCTCTCTTCCTACATTTTGTCTATTAGACACATACACTGAAAATGGTATCAGCCCATCACCTTCCCCTAGGGAAATCAGCACCTGGACTGGAGGTCAGTCTGTTTTTTGTTTGTTTGTTTGTTTGTTTTTTTGAGTTGGAGTCTCACTCTGTCACCCAGACTGGAGTGCAGTGGCTGCTCCCGGCCACCGCAGCCTCGACCTGCTGGGCTCCGGCGATCCTTCTGCCTCAGCCTTCCGAGTAGTCGGAACTACAGACGCGTGCTACCACGCCCGGCTATTTTTTATTTTATTGTAGAGAGGAGTTCTTGGCAAGTTGCCCAGGCTGGTCTCAAACCCATGGGCTTAGGCAATCTACTCACCTCGGCCTCCCAAAGTGCTGGAATTACAGACTGAGCTACTGAGCCTGACCTAATTGGTTCATTTTTTTTTTTTTTTTGAGTTGGAGTCTCACTCTGTCACCCAGACTGGAGTGCAGGGGCCGCTCCGGGCCACTGCAACCTCGACCTGCTGAGCTCGGGCGATCCTTCCTCCTCAGCCTTCCAAGAAGCTGGAACTACAGGCACGCGATGCCACGCCCGGCTAATTTTTTTGATTTATTGTAGAGATGAGGTCTCGCCTGCCCAGGCGGGTCTCGAACCCGCGGGCTCAGGCAATCCACTCACCTCAGCCTCCCAAAGTGCTGGAATTGCAGGCTGAGCCACCAAGCCTGGCCTGGTGAGCATGCGTGCCACTGCCCTCCAGCCTGGGTGAAGGAGTGAAGGAGTGAAACTCCAACTCAAAAAAAAAAAAAGGAACCAATTAGGCAAGCGCTGTGGCTCAACCCCTGTAATCCCAGCACTTTGGGAGAAGGAGGCGAGAGTATTGCCTGAGTCCAGGGGTTCAAGACCATACTAGCCAATTTGGCGAGACCTCATCTCTACAATAAATCAAAAAATTAGCTGTACATGGTGGCTCATGCCTATGGTTCCAGCTACTTGGAAGGCTGAGGCAGAAGGATTGCCTGAGTCCAGCAGGTCAAGGCTGCAGTGGCTATGAGCATGCCACTGCACTCCAACCTGGGTGACACAGTGCGGCTCTGAAAAATAAATAAATAAAATAACGACCAATAAAAGACCTGTTCTAAAAATAGGAAAATTTGGAGCTTCCGATGGCTAAACATGTGGAGGTTCCTGGAGGGTGGTACCCAGAAAGGGCATGAAAACTCCACACCTTCTTCTGTACCTTACCCTACGCATCTCTTCATCTAATAGCCTTTATAATAAACTGGTAAATGTGTTTCCCTGAGTTCTGTGAGCTGCTCTAGCAAATTAATTGAGTCCAAAGTGGAGGCTTTGGAAACCCCACCTTGAAGCAGGTCAGTGAGAAGTTCCAGAGGCCTAGAATTGCAAGTGGTGTCTGAAGGCAGAGGGCAGTCTTGGGGACTGAGCCCACATGGGATCTGACACTGTCTCCAGGTGGATGATGTCAGAATTGAATTGGAGGATACTCTGCTGCTTTCTGCTGCTTGGTGGGTGGGGAAACCCCTACATTTAGTCACAGAAGTCTTCTGTGTTGATGATTATTGTGAAGTGAGAGCAGGAGGAAAACATGGTTGAGAGTTTTCCCTAAAAAATTGGTGTCAGAGAAGTGGGATTTGCTAGAACAGCCCTGACTCCTGAAAATGTGGTTTGGGAAGAGAAAGGATAAAAGGATGCAGGATGTCAAACCTTGATACTTGGATAGCCAGGTGGCCACCCATGGCATGAAAAGCAGCTGTGCTGTAGTCAGCTACTAAAGGTCAAAGTTATCAGGGAATTGAGAGAGAGTTGGTTCACAGGATGCATAAGAGATGCAGACAAATATGTGTCAGCTGAGGGATGACGAGGCTCATAAATTTGGAAAGGAGAGCTTTTATTTTTCATAAAGGGGTGGAGCATGCAGGTGGCCATTCCAACGGGCTGAGAAGCGTAGCTTCCGGCCAGAAGCCAGATACAACAGACTCTGCCCCTTTGGAACAGGAATTTATGCTGAATGGGGTGGCCAAATATATTTAATAAGCTATAGAAGGAACCATGAATATTTATGAAAGGAGAAACACACATATACACAATGGAACTTCATGTCCTTTCACAGGTCATGTGTACAAAAAAGTGGCAGCATTAGCATGATCCAAGGGTGGAGTTTTCAGCCCTTTGATATCAAAAGGTGAAGGGAAGGACACAAAAACCCTTTGTGCACATCTTCTGTAAACTGACTGGAACCACTCCATGGTCAGTGGTCCATTCAGTCAGTGTGGGGTCTTAGAATTTTTTGCTTATTTGTTTGTTTTTGAGTCAGAGTCTCACTCTGTTGCCCAGGCTGGAGTGCAGTGGCACACTCACAGCTACCGCATCCTCAACCTGCTGGGCTCAGGCAATCCTTCTGCCTCAGCCTTCCACAGCTGGAACTACAGGCGCACATGCTACCATGCCTGGCTTTTTTTTTTTTAATTGTAGACATGAGGTCTCACCAAGTTGCCCAAGCTGGTCACAAACCCCTGAGCTCAGGCAACCCTCTCGCCTCGGCCTTCCAAATTGCTGGGATTACAGGTTTGAGCCATCATGCCCGGCAGAATTTTATTTTACTTTACTCTACTATTTTATTTTATTTTATTTTATTTTTGAGTTGGAGTCTCACTCTGTCGCTCAGACTGGAGTGCAGTGGCCGCTCTCGGCCACTGCAGCCTCGACCTCCTGGGCTCCGGCGATCCTTCCACCTCAACCTTCCAAGTAGCTGGAA